CAGGCCCCCCTCAATCTCCCTGAAAGACGTGTCACCCACCATCCACTGAGCAGCAACCTGGCTGAATTCATTCATCACAGTGTAGACCGCCTCGTAGGCCTTCCCCCCCTCAGCCGTCTTGACCTTTGAGGCGGATCGGAATGTGTGATCGCCACGGAGATAGACTTCGTCAACCATTGCTAGGCGCTCCTTCGTCCACGCAAGCCGCTCCGTTAGGTATGCCAGCAACATACCTGAAGTGGAGATCATTGGCTTGAGAAAACGCAAAACGATGTTGCTTTGATCAGACAGATTTATCACTGAAACATTTGATGCTTTGAGCAGGGTCGATCGCACCAGACTTTGTGCGCTTGAAACAGTTGCTGTGAAGCGAGCACTTCTTGATTCATCACTAAATGCATGATTTGTCACCTTATCCCTGCAAGCGGGACATAAGAGGCTGCGAAAGTCAAGACGAAGATACAAGAGCAATGCTTTGCAGAGCCTACTCCAGGAAGTAGCTTCGAGCAACACACAAGTGTTTTCTGGTTAATGATTACTCACGTGTCAAGTACGAGCGGGAAGGCACCCAGCCGCGGTACCCCTGCCTGTCCTTATACGCTCCAAAGTCTGGGGGCTGCGGCACTTGCGCTGATGCACCAGCGGAGCCCATGAAAAAGGAGGACCGCTTTTGAGCCAGCCTTCCCCGCTCTGCTGTGTACTGCAGGTGGCCCAGCTTGCTTCGGTTGTAGGTAATGTAATGCAACTCTTGTACGGCATCCGTTGAATCGGCGAACGACACGCCGCTGCTGACATTGCGAAGCAGGAAGTCCATCAGAGACACCTCCACTGCCCCATGCTGGGTGAAGCGGATGTTGAGCGAGGACTCGAGGGCTGCAGGGAGCTGCTTGATGACGCCCTCATCATGCGCCCGGAACTGGTAGTCCTTGCAGTTGTTTCCTGCGCATGTTGATGGCACAGAAGTAAGTGCTTGGCACACGTGGTCACTACCAAGCTTGCAGAAGATTAGCACTCTCTGCTCTGGTGACCTTCAATTCTTGAGCACAGCTTTGCATCCGCCATCGAGCAACAACTCTACGCACAGTGTTTGCAATTCAAACCTGCTGACTCCCAGGCTGCATCGCTACCTGGCTTCAGTGTTTTTCAAGGATCAGTCAGCGTTTGCTGGAGGCAGACTTTAAGATAAGGAGTTCGACTCATTATGATTAACAATCAGCCAGAGCTTGGAAGAATGTGCACATACCTGGGCATTTGTTGCACCGGTAGCATTTGGAGACCAGGAACGCAGGCCCTGCCAGCATGCATACTCTCCTTACTTTTGCAAGAGTCCACCCATCCCCCTCGAGTCCGTTGAGCTGCTGGCACTTCGAGCAATAGATGATGGGAACCAGGTCGTTGTAAAGCACCTGCCAATTGCAGAAGAAGACCCGCTTGCCCGCACACTGGAAAATTTGAATAACCTTCTCCGGTGGCTGCCCCTTGCTAGCAATGAAAGGGTCCGGACAATCTTTGAAGCATGATGGCCAAAACCTGGTATCGAGTGGTTTGCTGAGCTTCCCTGTTTTGAGATTGACTGTGGGCAGGGTCCACCCACCCACCAATCCACTCTTGAAGGAATAAGCTAAGCTTCACCTCATCCTCTGCTAAGTCGTCAGCCATCTTTTGTTGTTAAACCTGCCTGAGACAGCTGTTAGCAACTGAAGTCTGAAGCACTCCCCCAGGCTTTGGCCTCCTGTACGCCTTCCTTGCAAAAGCTTTCAAAGTGATCAGCAGTGAAAGCTTCGCAAGCAGACCAGTCACAGAAGTTGAAGAACTGGCACAAACTTGTTGCTGGCGGACTATCGAGCTTGAAAATCCTGATTTATTCCAGCCTTGTTATCTGCCGGACGGTATCAGCTGGCTTGATTAATTTATTCCAAATATAGAAAATGACCACATATACATCTACAGCATCAGTCTGATATGCTGGTAAAACCTGCACAACATACTTCACATGTCCTGCATCAGGAATTCAAATTCTGCCTGGTTGCTGGTCAGGGTAGGGACCGGCGGTACCTCTTCTTCGCGCCCCTCGCGCTGACGTCAGGGGGGGGATCCAAGATGCTGGATCCCGCAACAATCGAGAGGGTAAGCAAGCACCACGTGTTAGCTGCTTTGAACCGTTGAGACATTTGGGAGCGTTCATCGGACGACCATGGAGGTATGGAGAGATTTGTCAACGCACAATCCGGAGCGCTCTGTGGTTTGTCGAGACAATTGACCCTCAAATCTGTCGACCGTCGCGATGGTAGCAGCTCATCATCGAAGTCCTCGACAGTTTGACCCACAATTCTGTTGGCCAACCACAAGCCAGAATTTCACCCCGACCCTCCGCTCCGGACCGCGGACCCATCCCCGACCATACCTGTTACAGCGGTTTTCAAGCAGGCTGCCGGTTTTAGAAAGAACGAGACCCTTAAAAAGTTAGTGGAGTTAGTCATCCTTGGTTTGAATCAAGACCTACTCTACTAACTTTGAGTACCTATTAGGGTTCTTCCAGTAGTAAAACCGGAAGCCTGCTTGAAAAGCGCTGTAATGAGTGGAGAAACAATAAATCAGGGAGCCTAACAGACAGAATATTATACTTCATTGCAAGCACTTATGTATGTATGTGTTTCCTAATCTGAGGAGAATCCAAAAACTTTGTATTTTCCTCTTCTTTTTTGTAAGAAGAAAACGCATTTGCGTTTGTAGTACGACTTTTCCGGAGAAGGCAGATTAGCAAATACATACATACCTTGTAAACTCAGGGGTTTGAGGCACGGGCCACCTTACCCAAGGATATTATAGTTGACTGCAAGGACTAATGTATGTATGTACCTTGTAATCTGAGATCAACCCAAAGGCTTTTGTGTACTAAAAACTATTCAACCTCCTAACTTTCCCATACGTTTGCTCCTTGTTTGGAGCAAGGAGAATTAGCAAATACATACATAATATCATTGATACAAAAGTATTATGTATGTATGTGTTTCCTGCTTTGCATGGGATCCAAGAAGTCCAAACTGCAAGATTTTTCAATCTCTACTGCTGATTTTGTAAGAAGGAAGGATTGCGTTTGTAGTACGACCTTTCCAAGCCGGGCCAGATTAGGAACTACATACCCTTGAAGTGGCTGCAGTCTAGTAAAAAGCGGTCTATCGCCAACATATTGACAACGTGGCATACTGCGATGATGCACCATCAAGACTATTTGATCAGGTACAATCTTTCAACGACAAGGGTGTTGTTGGCAATGGCGCCACCAATTTGCCGATTTAAACTCACTTTGCTCCCGCCCCTTGAACATTGTCAAAAGCGTTCAGCGTGCCCTTAAGGGCGGCATGTTATACAAGTCCGCGCGTCAAGCTCTGAAAAGGCTAGGTATTCACTGCTACTCCGTTTTGCTTTCGTTTTAGGATATGTAGCTCGGAAATGACTGCAGTTCTGGTGCTCTTAGAAGCCCTTCCTCAAAGTTTCCCCAGTACTGCATCATCAGCTCAAACTGCGGCAAGTTGAATAGCGGCTGCTCACGTTGCGTTTCCTTATAAATGCACTCGGTAAGGTCATCATTGGAGGGATGAGGCGGCAAGATGTTGGACGATGTTCCGAGCAGCGGGTTTCTTGCGGGAGACTCAGGTGGTGCTACCGGATGATGGGGCTGAAGGTTGTCAAGGTCCTTCAGAAGATCGTCCACTGCGGCAGAACAAGGGCTATGCTTCAAACCAAGAGACAAATTGCATCAAGAGGTGACCAAACTTTGCAAATCGAGCTCGACATCCGTGAAGCCTAAGAGCATAAAACTATCGGGAAACAGTTAGACAAAGGAATTGCAACTTCCCATGATAACGCCTGGGAAACGCTGTCCGGGACTCATTTCATGTAGGTAGAAAGCTCCTTCTTTGGCCATTCTCACAACTAGTGAACCACCAAGGTCCTGATAAGTGCTGGACATTACGAAACATGAAGCCGAAGAAGCTAGCATCTTTGTCCGAGGAAAACTATTCTGGAACCTCAGCAACAGACAATCGCTGCTCAACCTCAAACTCCTTGAATCTGATCAGGGTACTGTCTAATGACAGGAGTGACTTACCCTTTCGTCGAGATGCGACTTCTGCCTTCTTGCACACCCCCGCAAAGTACCGGAAGGCTGCATTTTGGTTTGTAAACTGTACCTCCCTGACCACCGCTCTCCCATCAGAGTCCTGCGCGCCATGGAAGACGTTCGAGTCCCCTATCAGGTTCGTGAGCATGACGGGCATGCCTACGCCCTTCCGCCGAGAGACGAGCGTGCACCCTACGAACTGGCCAAGAGCTTGGCCGCGAAACTCCTCGTGGTTTTTCTTCCATGCTGCTTCAGTTTTGGTGTCGACAATGCCGGATGTCTGCAGTAGAATGCAGAGCAACGGTCAGCAGATTGCGGGTGGGTATTGTAGAAACTCAGAAAATACTGAAAGCTCTTTGTTTATGTCTACGCCTGGATAGAAGCTCGTCATTCCTTGTACAGTAAGGGTGCTGCGGAGGAGTGTTAAAGAACCTCAAGACGAATAGAGAATCTTGTCTCCGTCTATGCCTAGACAGAAGCCCCTCGTTCCTTGCACAGGGATTTAGGGAGGTGCTCTGTTTTCGATGTCGCTTCTGCTCAAAGAGGGCCTACAGAGATGCACATTAGCAGACTCCGATACAAACTTCCACATGTGAAATGTAAACGCTTCACCTCACCTTATCCAAGACGTTCTCTGGATTCTCTTTCGCTTGTGCCTCGAATTCAGCCATGACGAGGGCCAAGTCCGTTTTTGTCTCCCGCAATTTCAGCCTTTTTGTAGGAGTTGCATCCACCTTGCTGAAGATGTTCAACTGGCAGACGTTCACTGCCTTGTACCCCTCCAGATGCGCCGATATTTTTTCTTGGACAAAAGACTGAGCGGCGGTCATGTTTGCGCTGTCATCTTCGCGGACACCTGGCAATACAACAGGTTATGAATCAATTCAGAAACGTAGCTGACGTTTAACTCAAGCGAGCTGATTCTTAAGGTCTGAACAAGCTCTAGACCAACTGCTGGATATCTTCGACAGCTGACACTTGCTTGAAACAAACGCAGCGAGTAAGACTGGCATGGAGCAGCTTCAGCCCCTCTACGAATAATCAGCGATTCCTCCAGCAAGGTTGCCCTGGCAATCAACAGGGAAAACGCCCTCTGACAATTTCGACGCTACCTGAACTGCAACAACCAGCTGCCAAACATATGGAAGAATGCCCGCACGAAGATCAATGCAAACATAGACAGAAGCAACAAGGAGCTTGCCTGCTTTCCAGTTGAAGACTCCGCTGTTGTCAGCATCTAAAGCAGGGTCCAAGTCCCCAATTATCGTCTCTAAACCCTGGAAGCCCATCCTGCCCAACGCCTCCATCGCGTCCTCCAGGTCCGACTTTGACCCTCCTATTGAAATCTCGTCTGGGAAGTCCACGTTGAATTCCTTCTTTGCAACCCGGCGCACGATGGCTTCATCACAAAAGTAGGAGGTAATCACAAAAAGCGTCAGCTGTTCTGTTTTCTACCTCTCAAAACAACCACGTGTATTGCAACAGATACCGCGGCTTAGATGCCACAAACGAACTAGTCAGCTCGGACGCAAGAAGAGCCTTTCGCCGACCCTGCAACAAAGTGCCTGCAAAAGCTTATACGTAGTGCAAAGTCCACATCTTACCTGCAATGTCCTCTGGAAGCTGTAGTTGGACGACGGGCAGAGTAGCACCTGAAAGAATGACAGCTCATCATGAGCCGCTAAAAGCCTCCCAGCAGTCCTAACAATGTGTGGCTCTGAAGGGCAATTGCTCGCTGCCTGTAGCAGCTTGCCCTGCTTAGTCTGTACAATCGCCCTGCTTGAACAAGGAACAAGGATACTCGACCGCAGTGTTTCAAGGGTCGGAGAAAACGTAGAAGCATATGAAAAATATCAGAAATATGAGCATTTTGAGCTGTTCGCAAAACAAAACCCCCGAGGAAGTGCGAATGACTGGTTACTAACATACGAACATGTTTCTTCCTTGTAATCAGCAATACTGAGACTGCAGTGCATGCTCGGCAAGAAGACAAAATGGAGAGAGCATTCATCATTGTCAGACGCATTTCGGCAAATTCCTAGAAGGAAGGTAACCACGAAGCTTACGCTGACACAGTGGTGACCAGGAAGGCTACACAACAAAGGGAATCCTAGCACCACCTCTGCGATCTACTTGCAGAGGTGCACTGACCTGCTTGAAGCCCGTGGACCTGCGCCGCACAGCTGGTTTCACCGATAGCTGATGACTGAACACCTGAAATGGAACGGAGAGGAGCAGAGAGAGTCGGGATTTTCGCAACCAAAGGCAGCAAGCAAATCAGAAATGAAGATTGGAAATAGAGCACTATAGTATGGCTTTGGTGACAGTCTGTCTGATCTTCACCTCTTCTGGCATGCTCTGCTTACGCATGCGCACCCCCCAGCGTCGCATCATCAAACTGCTTCAACGTCTGCTTTGTTCACACTTCCTCGGTATGCTGTACATGCTGCTTTGATTCTCTTGAACGCTCTGACCACTAATGGAAAAGCGCAAGTTCTGATTCTGCTTACATACTTAGCGTAGGTGCCAGCGCAGCAGGCTATTAGGAGAAACCCTAGTAATATCTGGCCGCATGATCAGGACCGCTGCAGACATTCAGCTACCTACTCCAGCGATGATGGCACACCCAACTTCCATCATGAGGTAATGCTTCTCACAGACCATTGCCACCACCAACTGCAGGAAGGGGTGTCCACAACAAGAAACCCTGCCCCACTCCTATGATGCTGAAACTGCAAGCAGATGGTGCAATGTGACTGGTAGGCCCCTACCTGCTGCCAGAGATGCCCGCACCAACAGCGCCCTCTCCTCCTGCAGGCGCCCCTTCTCGTCCTGCAGCTGCCCCTTTTCCGCTCGCAGCTGGCGCTTCTCCTCCTCCCAGTGCCCCTTGTCGAGGCCACCTTTTCTCCACTCCGCTTCTGCATTGGCGATGGCCTGTTTGACTTGCTTGATCTCCGCTTCCACCTCCGCAATCTGCTCGTTGACTCGCTCAATCTTCTCCTCCATAGCGGCTTGATCGTTCATTCCGTTCAGTAGAGCAAACTGCCCCTACTCCACAGCCCCTTAGCAGAACCAGTGACCACTGGACCTGCGCGCCGTAGAGGTACCCCCTTACAGGGCTCACTAACCTTCCCGTATCCCTCAATTGGAAGTAAAAGTCAGGCTCTCATCTGGATGGCTATGGTCAGCTCGTATTTCCCCCACCTATGGCAAGTAGTGCAGGCCTCGGGCTCTCTGTTCCTCCCACCGGGGGTGCTGGGCTGGTTCGCCGCGGCCAGTCGGCTCAGACCGGACAGTATAGACCGGGCCGGGGCTGCCCTGCCGGTCTTGACAATCCTGGGTCCTGGATATTGTAAAATACTGCCCAAATCGTCTAAGAGCGTTGAGATCGATGAGATCGAATCTTCGCAAGGTTCCGTTGACCGACTGTATTGAACTAGAAATGCCACCGGATC